AAAACAAAGGCATTAACGAAAAACCTCACCAAACAGCAGGAGAAATTATTAGAAGACAAAATGGGTATCCAAACGACAAAAAAAAAAATTTAGGAATATGGCTAACAAATAAAGGTTCATCTATCAAAGAAGACAACTATAATAAATTAATACTACAGATAAAGAAAACTTGGAAATTTGGAGCAAATTACAACTATCCTTTTTAGGAAAAATAGCAACAGCAGAATGTGGGATCTATGAGAGAATGCAAGACTAAAGGGAGGCAGGGATAGCTGAAGTCTATTTGGGAGAATAACGAAGAGTAAACTTCAGACTGAAATAAGAATAAACAGAGCAGATAAAGAACAGATAACGATAAAATAAAGAGTAAGGAAAAAAACCACAAGACAAAAAAGGAAGTAAAGTACTTGTCACCTTTGGCCATGAACCATAGGATTCAGTAAAATCCAAAGCTTATGCATACAGTGCATGTCAATGTATATTCATCACTCACTTTGAAGGGTCACTCACATGTCAATGTGTATTCATCACTCACTTTGAAGGGTCACTCACTCTGCATAATCCATTTTCGATATGTTTGACTACTTCAGGATACCATTTGGTGATTGCGTGATCTATTCTGTGAAATTTTAAATTGAGTTTTAATATTTGAGCAGCCTGTTTTGAAGAAATGCTCACTTTATATTATCATTAAATAATTGCTCAAGGGGAACTTCTGACTGAACTTCCGGTGCCTTTAAAAGCGGGATCGTGAGCTCCGCGGCCTGTTCCAAGGTCTCTACGTCGGAGGACTCCAAATTAGGGCCATAGTCACCCTGGAGGGGAGGCGAAGGCCGTGCAGGTTGAGGAGAGCCGCATCTCTCCTCCCTGACTCAGAAAGCCCCCTCTGAAGACGAAGAGCATCAGCAGTCAAAATGGCTGCCATGAAGTCAGGAACAGTCTGAAAAACTAAGACAGTGCAGGAGCAGAGAAAGTGAATAATGTGTGAACTGGCTGAGAAAATATTTTTTGTTGAAATTGGACCCCAAGAAATCTAAGGGGGAAGTATATTTAAAACTACTTGGTGAAGCGGCGTACCAGGCACTTGGGAAAATACTGAAGGATTTAAGAGGAAAAATTACTTTTTAAAATGAATAGAAACTTGGACTCTCAAAATTAAAGACATGGCATTAAAGAGGCATTTTTAAAACGCTGGAATTACAATCCCAAATTTTATTTTTCTACCATTACTCAATTGCAGGAGTTACAATTTAAAATAATAAAATCATACTTACTAATAACATCGCAGAGAGGCTGAGCAGACTGAAGCAAGAGTGCCATCTGCTGATGAAAAGGGAACTACCCTCTTTCCCCCAAATAAGACATCTCCTGATAATAAGTCCAATCGGGCTTTTGAGTGCATGGCAATAAGGCCAAGCGCTTATTTCAGGGTTCAAAAAAATATAAGATAGGGTCTTATTTTTGGGAAAACACGGTAACTATTTAAAGAGACAGAAACTATTTGTTGGATAGGTACAGTACCTGCCCTAAGACCACTAGAGATTTGAATATTAAACAAGAATTTCAGCTAAGAGACCCCTGAATACTATTGAACATATAAAAATGACTTGAAGAAATGTAGATGACCCTCTGGTGAATTTAAATTGACTGGATTGATTATTGAGGATTCATTCAAAGCAGAGATTTGGAAGTTTTGTATTGAATTAATGATTTCTGGACAATTGGCCAAAAAGGAAACTTATTAAATACAGATGCAACACAAGACAGAAGTGAAGAAAAGAAAAGCGGAATGGAGTTGTTTCAAAGCATGGAGGAAATATTTGAGCTATAGACCAAAAACTGGAAAATATACAACAAATGATAATGGATAAAGACCAGGACAATGAGGAAAGAATGGAACCATCAGAAAGAACAGGGGGGAAAGCAGAACTGAGAAAACAACAGAAAGAAATCAACAAGGACAAATTATTACCAAAGCTAATAATGGTTAAGGAATTAAAAAAGAAGGAACATACTGTAAAAGACATAGAAATGGAACAGGAGAAACAGGAAGAGAGCTGGGGAAAAGAGAAGGGGCAAGGAGCAGATAGTTCTGGAACCAGACAGTGGGAAAGGGTAGAGAAGAGAGAAAAAGTTAGATTATATAAACAGAAGACAGATTTAGATGTAGAGGGAGTAAAAGACTTAAGGGATGAAAATGGGAGGCAAACCAAAAAGAAAGTAAGATTAAAGGTTCGGATGCGAGCAAGAGATGATGGATAAAAGAGGGAGGAGAGGGAAAGGAATACTTCATAAATATATCTTAATAAATATGTATTAATATTAGAATTACATAGGCTGGTTAATTATTTTATAAGTAGTATAATAGATAATTAGAATAACATTTCAAAACAAATAGATATGAAGAGTGGAGTAAAGGAAATAGGAGAAGCATGAATAAGAATGAAACAATAAGTGAAATTGTTTGAAATATTAAAGATGCATTAAATATGATTAGCAATGAAATATTGGAACTAAAAAATGGGTGATTAGATAATGAAAGAATATATTTTAATATACATTTGTATATTAAAAGAATTTAATACATAGAATTATGTATTAATGATTGTGATTGGTACTAGGAGAGTATACTTGGGCAATGAATAACGAAAGATAAGGATGAATTTTTGATATAAATTGATGTGAAGAGTTAATTAAAGGAAGTGAAAAAAGAACATGTCTTTGAATATTATAGCGATATTGGAAGGAAAACAAAAACGAAATAAAATAGAGATAGAAACAAGAGGAATAATAATAATAATTTTGTGTGTGTGTGTGTGTTTTCGTAGATTTTCATGGATAGAGGTATGCAAGTTTTGGTGTATTCAGCTGCTGCACCCCCCTCCGATCCCCACACAAAGCAAACTGACACACGCCATGAACACATGGCAAGACCTCAAACTTGGAGCCAAACCAAAGCCCAGGATGTGGCATCACAGTCATCTGCTCAGGACATTACATCAAAAAACTCAGGATATCACAACACTAGAACTCAGGATGTTAACACAGCCCATTACCCAGGTCGGTAAAACACAAAAGACTAATGGGCACACATCAAGAACCTCACCCACACAGGATGTTATGAAACTATTTTAAGAAAATATTCACTGAAATATTAATGTGAAAGTAAAATAATTTGAAGACAACAACCTAAGATAGCTTACACTGCTGTGTTAAATGTCAGCTTGACAAAGTGACACTTAAAAAAAACCTATAATTAAACTGAACAAGTTAACAATTGAGTAGATAAAAAAACAGAGCCTATGAATTTGAATTATATGTTAAATTCTTAGTACTGTTCAGACCAGTGGTGGTATTCAGCTGGTTCTATCCAGTTTGGGAGAACTGGTAGCAACAGCTGCAGGAGGCTCTGCTCACCTGCCCGGAAATCATCACATGCTGTTTTTGATGCTCTGCACATGCACAGAAGGTCCTGCGCATGCGCAGAGGTGTCACACGCGAGCAAGCGAGCACGTGCACACTCTCACATTTGTGAACCAGTAGCGAAGGCAAATGAATACCACCACTGGTACACACACACACACACACACACACAAGATAGGAACATTATAAAATAACTTAGTGACTATGATGCAAAAAGCAATTGGAATAGAACAAAGAAACCTGTCTCTCTGGATGTTTCTGATTATAGCTTCCAGTAGCCACAATGGCTGATAAACAATGTGATGGGCCAAAGTTCACATCTGGAAGGCCACAGGTTTTCTTTTACCATATTAAAGGAAGGGGGGAATGAGTTACAAGTATTTTATAAAATAACCAGATAAGAATATCAACTAAAATCTTAACAAATGCGTAGTAGATACATTGCAGTTGTTCTAGTGTTACATACGTTTGTGCAAAATGGAGCAGTCTGCTCTAGAATATTCAGATTTTTCATTCATTTCTGGAAGTATACCTTTTAGAACAGGAACAGTTGATCCTTCAGATATAGTGAATGCTGCTTTCTGCTTTTGTCTTACAATTTCATGAATTGTACCTTGTCAAGTTATAGACACTGTTGATATTTATTACCTTCAGCTTTAAAAATTAGGGTTATAGACGAAATTAAAGGACATATTGATAAAGTAACACAGTGTTTAGGGATAAATCTTATTTTTGCCAAAATTAAAAGAAAGTGGATCAAAAAGCTACTATTCTTAACTACAGCTGAAGGCAAAATATACTAATTGGTCCAGAAAAAGTTCAAAAAGTTTTTGTAGATTTATTGAAAGCTTAATCAAAGGACTTTCTAAATAAGCTAGTATTTGCATCTCTACTTTATCTACTGCAGCTGTAGTAAAAAGAAATATTGTTTTTAATAAAGAATTTACTTCAGTGCATTGGAACAATAGATTAAATATAGATGTGATTAGGGTATTATTTGGAAGGAATAAATTTAAAAGTAGAAGCAATCTTTCTTAGGCATTCTCCCTGCTCCAACATGGGACTAAAAGAAATTGTTTATTGAAAGCTTAATCAGGTTTTCGTATCAAAATGATCAAGGAAGAAGTAGGCTAAAACTGCTTAAGTTTCTACAGTTTACTCTGTGTTGTACCTGGTTTTGCCTGCATTTGTCAATGGATCTCTAGTACATATTGGCATCTTAATATATCTGAACTCCTGGTAAAACAATCAGTGCTTTGAAAAATAATAATTTAGAAACATTCGTGTAATATTTTGAAGTCAAGTACAGACAAGATGCTAGTCTTTTTAGCATATTTATCCAATCTCAAAATGCATACTGCTTTTTTACATCTGTTGGAGAATGTCTATAAGTGATAGAACTCAACGTATGGAAAAATGTGTGACATTTACTTCCTTCTGTTAAGTTTGCTTTACTGGCGACAAAAAAGATACTGGTATCTTGTTATACTATTGTGATATTACTATATCTACCTTATTATTTCCAACAACTCTAACATTTTGCATTATGATTGTTACTGTTATTATTTTATTCACAGGATGGAGGGCTTCTTATAAATAATCCTACAGCATTAGCAGTGCATGAATGCAGATGTCTTTGGCCAAATGTCCCACTTCAGTGTGTGGTGTCCCTAGGAACGGGTCGGTATGAAAACCATGGGAAAACCAATGTCACCTATACAAGTTTAAAAGCTAAATTGACTAATGTCATCAGCAGTGCTACTGATACTGAAGGTTAGTATCAGGTGATCATAGTTGTCTTGTTTTTGTAGTACAATTTTTAACTGCTTTCTTGGACTAAAAATAACATGAAAAGACATTTTGGTTTTGTTTTGTACCCTACATTCAGTTGTTTTATTAATCCCATCTCTCAACATCCATAGAAGGATTAAGTGTTTAAGTCATATACAAAGCTAAAGCTTTTTAAAAGTAATGAATACTATTTTTTAAAAAAATTATTTAAAGAGTTGGCCTTTTTGCTTTTGTCCAACTAATGTCTTGTATTAGCTACTTAGCAAATTGAGATTTAATTGGTAGTTGATGACAATGATTGCCAGATTTTCAGTTAAATTAGCTATTAGAGATTGCCTATACCTCAATTTTGCCATTATTAAATCTCTGATTATAAAAGTAGGTCTTTGTTAATGATAGGCATAATGTTGGAATAGAAAGCTCCATCTTAAAGGTTACTGGACATATGAACAATGGTAGAATAAGCATTTTAGTAATTAAGGAAAAACTGTTAATAGTGAAATCAATGCATAATAAAAATGCAAAATGTAGAATGACCATTTTATCATGTTTCACATGAGTATTTCAATAATGTAGAAATAAGCAGTCAATCCAAATTTGAATTACTGTATAAATTCTATGTAATTATTTCTTTATCTTCTTTGATTGATTCTAATTAGGGGTTCACATGCCAAATTAATCCTAAAATTCTTGAATTGGTTGACATTTCAAGAATTTTAGGCATTTCAAAAGCAAAAATTTGCTTTTGCATAGATCAAAGCATCTTGCTTCAAAGAAAACCTGTTACAAGCCAGCTTCAACACACCACTAGAAGGGTGGGTTATAATGGTCCTCTCAAATCCCCTGTTGTTGCTTTTTACTTTAAAAAAAACCCTGACATTTTACATAAGAGATGTTTTGTAGAGGTTTGCTAACTTTGATGTACTACTGTATATCAACTTCAAGGCTATTATTTCTGAGATTTTTTTGTTCTAAGTCACATTTTAATTGACCAAGTGTTAATACAAAAGATGTTATACTTAAGGAGAATTAAGGTCTCATATTGAAAGTTGCATCCATAACAAATATTGATTCCAAAATGACACCATTCACACAATGACATCAACACATACTGTATATGCTGTGATTGCATATTTGTGACAGCTTGTTCAGTAAATACATAAGATAACGAGTTTATGTAATGACAACCTCACATAATGCCATTTTGCTAATTCTTGATTGTTCCTGCAGACATTTGTATATGCTTACTAAATACTAGAATCTTAATAAAATGTCTGAATTCATACAAATTAATTTGAAACATTATTCTTTAAATTTTTATTTTAAACCAAATTCTTTCCCATTTCTCTTTTAAAACTAGAAGTTCATATTATGTTGGATGCCCTTTTACCACCAGACACCTATTTTAGATTTAATCCATTGATGAATGAAGATATTCCTCTGGATGAAAATCGTAAAGAAAAACTGAATAAATTGCGGACTGATGGCATCCGATATTTAGAAAGAAATGATGAGAAGCTGAAAAAAGCTAGCAAAATATTATCACAGGAAAAAAATATTTTACAGAAATTGAGTAACTGGATGAGATTAAAAGCTGATATGTATGATGGCCTTCCAATTCTGTCAAAATTGTGAATATGTAAAATGTTACGCATCATAGGTGCAAAGTTGTATATGAAAAGGGTTCAATATTTGCTAGTCATTATGTAATCATTTTTTTTATTTCAATGAGCAAACAAGCTATATAAAATGCATTTCAATCTCAGTAGCTCCTCATTAGTTTCTTTGATTGGATCTGAAGGTCCTGTGTGCAAACAGAAGGAAGACCTTCCAGTCTATTTCTTCCTTGTCTCCCAGTCTGTCACCCTCACGCTCAATGTTTCTCAGGGTCCTTCAAGCGAATATTCAGCAGGACATGAATATGCAGATCAGTAATTATGATCACTGCCGATGCTTTTTTTTTCTATAAAGAGAACACTTGTAAAATTTGGGATTTAATGATTTCTTGAAATATATGAGTTTTCAGAACCTCACATCATTACCACTTGAATATAAGTGGTGCGGGTATATATATATATATATATATACATACATACATACATACATACATACATACATACATACATACATACATATATATATATATATATATATGATGTCTAAATTTGTGACAATTATGGTACAAAACTTTCAATATATTGTGAATGCAAATAAAAAATCATGCAGTTTACAAAATCATGCTGTGTTTATGTGTTAGTGGAAAATTACAGCATGAGAAGAACCATAGCAAATATGTTGCTCTACAAATGATTGAGCCAGAATAAATCAAACTGTTTAATTCCCATTGAGATTAATGACAATAAACAATTTTAAATCCATTGGGAGTAGTTCAGCTAGTTTGCTGATTGAATTACTGTATATTATAGACTTGCAGGATATTATACTGCCATTAAGTGTCATGAAAATTGTCTGATGATGATTTGTGCATGTAAACTGTTTCGTTTTAAAATGTTACATGTTTTGTAGTGTGCAATGCTTTAACTATTTTACTTTATCCAATTTAGTATTTGACATATTGCAATAAAATCTGTCACACTTAATATTTATTTTTCAAAAAAAGTTTTAAAAAATTTCAAAGATTTTGGTTCAGAACAATTACTTTGCTGTTTGAAAAGCAAATCTCTAGAACTGAGTCTTGTATGAAATAAAATAAATATTGAAAGGTCCTCATTGTCCTCATTGTGTGATTTTATTTATTTAGTTATGTGAAATCATGCCAAATTATGTTTTCATATTTAATATATATATCTTCATATACATATTATTTAAGTCAGTAGCAAAGTAAGACTTTCCAGTGAGGAAAGATTTTGGGCATTTTCAGTTAATAGGGAAGCCATACGCTAAATTATGAAACCATGTTGGCAGCTGACAGAGTGTCAGAAGGACAAGTCAGCAAGCTTTGGGAACTCTACCATTCTGTTTTGTAAGCCATAGTTTGTGTTTGACATGTTAGTCATTTGTGGTTTGGTAAACCATGTTTCAACTGTGATTTAGTGAAATATACTGTAAGAAACAAATAAATAGTTTGTCTGTGATAAATGTTCCTCTGTGGTCAGTAGTCAACAAAGTCAATTAGTTAGATCCATGCAAAATAAACTGAGTTCACAAAACATGCTAAGCCAAAGCAACATAGGCCATTTATTGCTTAGCAAAATGTGTCAACCTAACCAACATATCTTCCATAACCACTGATAAAGAAGAGCAGCAGATGAGGACTATTATTTTCCTGTCCTTTGTTTCTATAGAAACCATTACCTTTGAAGTAGATGAAAAATCATCTAGGTAAGAGCCCAAGTAAGAGCAACTTCCCTCCTGTCAAAGATTTGTGCATTGTTACTAAACTCTTATTTTTAAGATAATTACAAAATTAATCAAATTCATATAAGTGATAATAAATCTTTGCTCCCCAAACCCACCTATCTTATTATTCTGAATGTTGTTGCCCTTTGTATGTTATTAAGAAATTGGAACTTATAAATTCCAATTTATAAGTAGTTATAAATCAAAAAAAGAGTACTGGGCTATGATGAAAGTACTGCAGGTTCCATTCCTGCCTGGTCATGTGTTACTTATTATGTAGATTAGTAGAAATGGAATCAAGAACACAGCTTCTGAAATATAATATGCAGCAATATTTATTACATAATTCGGATGTTTTATATACTAATTCAATGAACCCACAAAAAGTGTTGCTTCTAAAATACCTTACTTCTAAAAACATTGCCTAAAGTGTGGAACTGAACACAACTTGATTAGGGTTTTGCATCTTATTTCAAGGCCAAGAGCCACTTAGCAAGCATCCTGATTCTTCATGCCTGATAGCTGGGCATATTTTCAAGGGGCAACCCCCCTCTCCCAGAATCCAGGCAGGTCATTCCAGGTTAGCCTGCTCCTCATTTATAAGGTCACTAATAAGAGGAATCTTGATTGATCTGGCATTAACCAGCAACAATCAAAAAATGCCAGCTCCATTGATCTGCTGAGTAGGGTCCAGCATAGAAAGCTGGAATGCATAACTAGTATTAAACATTCGTGGCATCTTCCCTGTTTGAGGCCTGCCCTTTGACTCCCATCAAAATGTCTCCTGGCCATCATGATGTGGATATGGCAACCCCTCCCCCCATCCACCAGAGATTATATTACCTCCTAGCCCTGGCCTAATGGTTTCCCTACATTGGGGGCCCTCCATCAAATCACACGCACCCAGACACTTACAGTTAACCTAAGAGTAGTGGAGCGCTCTCCAGACAGCTCCACTTCCGACACAGTAATAGCAATAACATTTAGATTTATATACCACTTCATAATGCTTTACAACACTCTGACCGGTTTACAATGTCAGCATATAGCCCGCAACAATCTGGGTCCTCATTTTACCGACCTCGGAAGGATGGAAGGTTGGGTCAATCTTGAGCAGGTCTCCTGGCAATGGGCAGAGTTAGCCTGCAATACAGTCTAACCACTGTGCCACCACAACTCCTATAAGGGGATAAACTTCATTGTCCACTCCACTATATAGGGGACCCTTGGCTGCCAGTCCTTAACTGAAGCTGGGGTGGATCTGTATACCAATTTCCATGTGGTCTTGGCACCACCCAGGTATCTGCCATCCAACTGCTCTTCATGACACTTGCAGCTATGTAGCATTCACTCTGGCTGGCTAGCTGACCCTTGTGTCAGTGCCCCAGCTGCTCCTCCTGCCAGATGCCAATTGCTCTCATCCCCTCAACTGGTCTGGCCATCCTCTGGTCTGAGTTGCTCCCCGCTGAGCTGTGCAAACCACTGTTGTATCTGGATATGGCTTAGCTGTTGTGATGGCTTCCTTGGATGCTGGTTCAGATAAGGAGGAGCCAGCTTCAGGGCCATCAGAGGGGGCGATGTCAAGGAATTGGAGCCTTAGATGGCTTTGGTGTGAAAATTAGGGGAGCCAAGGTTGGAAACAGCAGAGATGGGCAATCAAGATGAAATGGCTCACGTGACACGGAGGACAACCAGGTTAGAGCCACCAGATAAGTGGCGGGTTGTGCAGACTGGGAAGGACGTGCAGCTGCAACCGTTCAATATCAACAAGGAGTTGCTGCCCCCACCTGATGCACAATACACAGGACAAGACTATGCCTTGTTCTGCCTTGTGTCCTTGTCATGGCTTTGTCTAACCCAGCCATGGTTTTTTATCTCACTATACTGCAGGCCTGTCAAATTGGCGGTCCATGGGCTGGATACATCATGCACAGGACATGCCCATCCCAGCTCTGCAAAGAAAAAAACCATTGCAATACATCATGATCTGGCCCATGACACAATCGAGTTTGACACCCATGCTCTACTATCTTGCTTCCCCTCTTCCTTGCCTTGCAACTTTTGGTGCAGAAGGAACTGCAACTTTTCTTGCTTGGATCTTGGCTGGGTGAATTTTGTGAGAAGTTTTATATCCAAATATACAGGTGAAACTCGAAAAATTAGAATATCGTGCAAAAGTTCATTTATTTCAGTAATGCAACTTAAAAAGTGAAACTAATATATGAGATAGACTCATTACATGCAAAGCGAAATAGTTCAAGCCTTGATTTGTCATAATTTTGATGATTATGGCTTACAGCTCATGAAAACCCCAAATTCACAATCTCAGAAAATTAGAATATTACATGAAATCAATAAAACAAGGATTGTACATAGAAGAATATCGGACCTCTGAAAAGTATAAGCATGCATATGTACTCAGTACTTGGTTTGGGCCCCTTTTGCATCAATTACTGCCTCAATACTCCGTGGCATGGATGCTATCAGCCTGTGACACTGCTGAGGTGTTATGGAAGACCAGGATGCTTCAATAGCGGCCTTCAGCTCTTCTGCATTGTTCGGTCTCATGTCTCTCATCTTTCTCTTGGGAATGCCCCATAAATTTTCTATGGGGTTCAGGTCAGGCGAGTTTGCTGGCCAATCAAGCACAGTAATCCTATGGTCATTGAACCAGGTTTTGGTACTTTTGGCAGTGTGGGCAGGTGCCAAGTCCTGCTGGAAAATGAAGTCAGCATCCCCGTAAAGCTCATCTGCGAAGGAAGCATGAAGTGCTCTAAAATCTCCTGGTAGACAGCTGTGTTGACCCTGGACTTAATGAAGCACAGTGGACCAACACCAGCAGATGACATGGCTCCCCAAATCAACACAGACTGTGGAAACTTCACACTGGACTTCAAGCATCTTGCAGTGTGTGCCTCTCCATTCTTCCTCCAGACTCTGGGTCCTTGGTTTCCAAATGAGATGCAAAAGTTGCTCTCATCAGAAAAGAGGACTTTGGACCACTGAGCAACAGACCAGTTCTTTTTTATTTTAGCCCAGGTAAGACGCTTCTGACGTTGTTTGTTGTTCAGGAGCGGCTTGACAAGAGGAATAAGACATTTGAAGCCCATGTCCAGGATCCGTCTCTGTGTGATGGCTCTTGATGCACTGACTCCAGCCTCAGTCCACTCCTTGTGAAAGTCCCCAACATTTTTGAATAGCCTTTTCCTGACAATCCTCTCCAGGCTGTGGCCATTCCTGCTGTTTGTGCACCTTTTTTTTCCACACTTTTCCCTTCCACATAACTTGCTATTAATGTGCTTTGATACAGCACTTTGGGAACATCCAACTTCTTTTGCAATTACCTTTTGAGGCTTTCCCTCCTTATGAAGGGTGTCAATGATGGTTTTCTGCACAACTGTCAGGTCAGCAATCTTTCCCATGATTGTGATTCCTACTGAACCAGACTGAGAGACCATTTAAAGCAGTGGTTCTCAACCTTCCTAATGCCGCGACCCTTTAATACAGTTCCCCATGTTGTGGTGACCCCCAACCAGGGGTGGGTTCTAAATTTTTTTACTACCGGTTCTGTGGGGGTGGCTTATTTTGTGGGCGTGGCTTGGAGGTGACTGGGTGGGCATGGCTAGCTGGTCATATGACCGGGTGGCCATGGCTATGTGTATAGGGATTATGACTAGTCCCTATACACATAGCCATGGCCACCCGGTCATATGACCAGCTAGCCATGCCCACCCAGTCACCTCCAAGCCACGCCCACAAAATAAGCCACCCCCACAGAACCGGCTGAAAAAAGTCATTTCTGACAGGTCCTCGCACTTTTGACTGGTCCTCACACTTATGACCATCCTCACATTTATGCCCATGCAGCATTCTTAACCATGTCACTCATTTCACAACTGCTTCTTTTCACCATGGTGATAAGATAGGGCAAAAACGTAAAATGTGAGGATAGTCGTAAGTTCGAGGACTGGTCAAAAGTGCGAGGACCAGTCAGAAATAACTTTTTCAGCCGTCTGAGTAGTCCATAAGCATAAGAGGATACAGCAATAGAGAGGGATGAAGGAAGGGAAGGGAAATTAGAGTAGGAGTGAGGGTAAGAGAGGGAGGAAGAGAGGAGGAGAAGGAGAAAGAAAGAGGAAGTAGGGAGGAGAAGAAGAGGGGGAGGAAGAGAAAGTAAGAAGGAAAGAAAAGAGAGAGGTGGTAGGTTTGAGGAGAAAGATTGCTGTACAATAAAAAAGATGAAAGGGAAGAAAGCCAACCCCAAACAAATATAAAGATATTAAGATAAAGAATGAATTGTTAAACTTTAAAGAATAAAAGAGAACAAATATGAATAAATAATAATTAGAAACACACATACAAACATACAATGTATTTTCTTTTGTAGGAAGTTAGCACCCACCCCTTTCCTGGAAGAGTGAAATATTTTAGGAAATATGAAAAAGGCAGAATATTATATTTCCCTGGGATAAGCATGTTTTGAAGCAGCTCCCATCTTCCTGCCCCCACCCTTTGTCAATGGGCCATTAAGGCCTGGGCCAGTCTATTCTACATAACAAAGATCTACCTCCTTCAGGCAGAGCCATAGTAGGAATTGCCAAAGATCCAATAAAGTTAGGATTAGCTCTCTACACAATAGCAGCAGAAACTCATCACATGTGACCTGGGAAGCACATGTGACCATCAGCCAGCAAGGCTAGCTAAGACCCCCACCCCCTGGGAGTCTGACAACCAA